TGATTTTTATAAAAACAATTTTTATATAAAAATTAGTAAATTTATTGCTCCAATATTTTAGTTACTTCTGCAATTTGAAAATTATAGGAAAACTCTGTTCCGAGTTAAATGGATAATCGACGGAATTTAATTAGAACTCGTTCCTTTGGCTGCACCTGAGACTGTACGCGGTAAGCGAGAGTTATAAGAGCGCATCATTTTCGCACTATATAATGTAAAGCGCTACCAAGTGAAAGTACACGCACTAAATTCATTCTAGGACAAGCTCGTTTACTTATATGCTAGTATTACGATCCCGCCCTTGGCGGTAAGCCAGCTATTACAAGAAAGAGGATCGAAGGTGTTGAAAAACGAGCATACACGTAACTCATAATGTATTATACGCGTGAAATACTCAAAAGCATAGATATGTATCTTAGATCAACAAGATTTTACAAGCGTCTGAAAAAAAAAATTTTTAGCCTGAATTTGTTAAAATATAAATAATTACAATAACGGAGTAATTATACAAATAAAGCCACTGGAAAAATATAGCAAGAACTAAATCAACTGCTAAATAAGAAATTCGATTCCAATGCGAAGTTATTCCAATATCGAATTTAACATTAATATACTAATATTTAAAATATAAACAGCAGTGTATAAGTAGTAATTTATGCTATTTTATCAGAAATACTAGTCTTTCTATTATACTATTATTTCCTCTTCCTATACTAGGAAGAATTTTTTCCTTTCCCCTTCGTTAGACATAAGTAATGGGAAATATATAATAAGGGAATATATGTCTATTGCATATTGTGTTACCTGTAATCATATTGGTTTTTAGCGACGTTTTGTGAAAGGGGTAATGCCAATTTAAGAAAGTGGAAAACATTGTAAAAGGATGTATTCGATTGTTACGGTTGGACAGTTGCCGAAGTATACGACGCAAAACTACTACAATTTCCCTTGTACAAAAATAAAAGAAAAGCGATATATGTATGTTATGATTTTTTAAAAATGCAATTTAAAGTAATAATAAAAATTATTTATAAAATCGTCGATAGATTTAGTTAATTTTATAAATTTTAATAAATTTTAAAAATTTTAATAAATTTTAAATGTTCCAAAAATTAGAAAATTTTTAATGTAGCTTATTACTGTAGATAACTTGATCAATCTAGTTTGTACGTACAGAATATCTCAAAATCAAAATGCCACAGTAGAAAAGTTCTCGAAAAAATAAACTTCAACAATACCTTTGCCAATTAACGTTCGGAACAGTTTTTGAAGTATAAATGTAAAACTAGCCAATTATAGATAACAGTTAAACGATTGTTTGCCCTAAGTTGCCACGTGCAACCATGAATACTATCGACATAGAATTCACGGACAGCCAGCCATTTAACCGTAATCTATAATTAGCCAATTTTAAACTTTTATGTTTCAAAAACTGTATATACTGTTCGAAACAAAAAATAGCAAATATATTTCTAACTTTCTTTTTAGGACTTCTTTGTAGTATTCTATTCGCCAATTTCGAGACATCCTGTATATTATATCAACTTAATATTTTAAATATTATTTTAACTTAGTATTTGTGTTTTCATTTGCAAACAATCAACATATATATATATATATAAATATAGTATATAAAATTTTCCACTCATTAATTATCAGTAGTATCAATTAATAATAATAGTTATTGCTAATTAAGTAGTAAAAGAGATAAGTAATGAACTTTACAAAATGAAACAAATACAGTAATATCTATAGTTATTAAATAAATAAAGAACAGCGCTACAATAAAATTTGATTTAAAATAGAAACGAAATAGAGAAAAATAACATAAAGAGATTAACTATAAACCTCGTGAAGTTTAAGTTATCAGAAGATACGGTATTGTTTCGGCATAATAATCACAATAGATTTCTTAACTATATTAAAGATTGAATAAAATTTCTTGCAACAGAATCGTTTGTTCCACTTTTGAAAAGATTTGCCGGTCTCCTTCAAAGAAAATTAATAAAAGAGAGCAGGAAAATTATATGCTTCGATCACGTCACGCTGAGATTGTATTATTTTTATTCTATAGACACACATATATGTACACACACATATAAATGCGGTAACTTGTGAAATCGCGAAGGGAGTGACAGAATTGTAGCTTTCTGCATGCCATTCGTGCGCTCTAAATCCGTTCTGACTACGCCTGTAATAAACCTAAATAAACACAGACGTATGTGTTTTTCTATAAGAGACCATAGTAAGTATGTATCGACGATTTAATTTTAATTTTAAATATAATGCACAAAGAACATAAGTAAAAGATTTCATTCTTTATTTAATTTCGTACGAGCTTTATTCACGCACACAACCTTCAAACACGATTATTAATTATTTAAAGTTGAAAATGTAAAAAATTTATAAAGAAACAAACAAAAATGACATCCAAATAAATTAAAACCACATTAAAAATTAATAGGAAAAATGAAAATAAGTGGATATTAATATAAAGATTATACGTATCTTTCATAGTGACTAGTTTCTCGATTTTTGCACGGAAAATTTGATTCTTTGAAACTATAATATATTTTACACATAACAATTAAAACTATATCTTATAGATAGATATAAAGTAATACTGAAATGACCGCTTGCTAATATACCATTAACGTCCCACGATTTGAAATGTGAGCGATGGGATAAATCCAACTCTTACGAAATTAAAGTCCATGGTGCACCGGAATTGCACGCCGCAACGTTACGAAATTTTTACTAATAGTTTGCATAACCAGTCCAGATTATTAGTACCACTTTCTCGTGATTTATTTGATAAAATAATGTTCAGAAAACGTCGTTATCGTTATCACGTTGTCACGCATGATTTCGAGTCAACTGGACCCAATGCTAATCAGCGATGATCATTTTCATCACCCAAGTATTGCAGCACAGTTTATAAATTAGATCAGTTTATATTCCGCCGGCTTATAATTACATAACTTATCGTTTTTAATTCCTTTTTTCTAAATTATGTAAGCATGTGTTATATATATATTTTAATAAACACTTTAATTTTTTGGTATTCTGTAAAAACTGGAACTTGACTAATAATAATAAACATTTTGCTTGATATATATATATAGCGTTACATTGCATAATATCGCATAATTTGACACGATAATGGCATCTTTTACTTGTTGACAATGTAATCTAATACATATTTTCTCTTTTTAAAATATCATAATATGTACTATATAATACAGATTATATATTTTTTTATGTAGCCCCTACAAAAATCTTGAAGAAAATGTTGTAAGTGTAATCTAGTAAAAATAAGAATTTCTAACAACACAATTGCTTTTTATGTATCGTATCATTTCGAGTATTATTTTACAATAACCGTCTCTACAACTTTGATAAAAAAATTTTAGCGAATGCAAAAATCGAGAGCAATAAAATCTAAATAAGTAACAGACAATTTTTTAATTAATCAAGAACGAAATGTTTTGTGAAAAATAATTTCAATTATTTTAATTAATATCAACTGTTTTTGCCATGTGTTTTTATTCTTGTACATATATCTAGCGAGCGAGAACTACGAATAACAATTCCGTTTAGCATTTTATTTCAAAACACAGATGTACTTAAATTAGACTAGAAAATCACCGTTAGAGATTATCAAAGAGATTTTCCCGGGAATGACATTACTCTTGTTATTTCATTACGTAATATGTGAACGATTTAAAGCTTACCGGACATGCCGGTTCACCAACAAACGATTGAACGGCCCGGGGCAAGGCCGCGGACTTGTCTCGCCACGGGCTAGAATCTCGTGAATGAACTGTTACATAGTGTTTGCAGATTTCATTCGCTGCAGACATTATCTCTGCGCGCATCTTTCTTCCCTGAAGAGGGTTAATCGATCTCTTCCGTTAATTTACATATCTAGTAGGTTGTAATTAAGACACGTGAGTCAAAGAAGAAGATAGTACGTGAGTGGGTAATTATCACAGAAAGAGTCGAAGTGGTTTCTTTTTCCGAATAACTGCATTTAAGATTCTCGTTTCTAAATAATTGTTATTCAACGCTATCCATTGTACTTAACTGACATTACCTGTTAAAATCTTTAAGCGTTGATTAAGGAAAGTTTGAAATCTGGAACAATTATTATTATGCCAAATGCACTTTAATAGCGATTAAATTCCGTTCAATTAATGTGAATCAGGGCGACTCTCTTTCTTCTGTATCTTTAATTGCGATAAGAATTATTAAGTAGACCAGGGAACGAACCAATTGGATGAATGTATGAGGAAAGCATGCTTTACTTTATGACCGAACGCAAGGTTCGGGAAATAAGAACGTAGAAAGTCGAGTCGGAATAGTTGGAGATATGTATTTTTACTTTTACATCAAATCGGTGCGTAAACGAGATTCTCATTCATTGTTCGCCTCCAATGCGATGCTACCTACGCAAACAGGGTACCTAAAACGGAGTCTGGATTTGATTTCTTAGTGATAAGATGTGTTTATAAGCATAACATTGTTTTGTTTCAAAAATTTATTGATTTATTAATTATTCATTTATGGCAAAATTATCGTATGAGAAAAATATAATGTACGGACTACCGGATCCAGCTATACATGTATAATAAAATATACATATATAACGTTAATGCATTTTATAAAGTTGTATGAAAGTCAACACGCCGTCAGTAAAATCCCAAATTCTCTATTCTCTCATAAAGACGCATTGTGCTCGTTTTTGAAAATCTTCGCACATTGCTGTCGAGTTCTTCACAAACATTGAAGATCTCACAAGATCTAACGGCACGATCTCACTGGTCTAGAACGAACACTCTCGACCACTCGCGACTCCGCGCACGTATCGTCTCGCGGAAATACAATTCGGAACCTTTGGGACCGTCCTTTCCGGTCTCTTCCGGAAATCTGTGTCGACTCGCGCGCGACGTTTATGCTCGACCGCGAAGCGTACGGTAACACAGGCACATCGTACTTACGGTCCTCATCTCTCTTTCTCTGGATCTCCCCCGAAACTGCGGCGAGTCGGTACGAGCGCGTTCTCCGCGTTTCCCCGTGAGCCGTGCACAGGTCGGCCGCCAACTGCAGTTGCACTCTCGTTTAAGCGGCGAGTCTAGGAGTACCGCGCAACGGTGGTGTACCACCTGCCACGCGGGGGTACGTTCTCGGAGTCGCGGGCTCGCGGATGGTAGGGGGCTCCGGAAGAAACGCCTACTATACGGTGCGAATGTCCAGAGTAGCGGAGTAGGTTTCCCGTGGTGACGGTGAATCCTAGGTGTCGGAGACTCTCACAGCTTGCTGCCCGTCTTGGCAGTAGAGGACCGTTTGACTCCCGGTGGGGGCCGATCCTGGGACTTATATATGTCGACGTTGGAGGCCATCCGCGTCTGCCTCCCTGTACCCCCCTCGTGCGCCCCCGCCCGAATCATTACCCTCCCAAGGGGCGCGAGCGATGGTCAAGGTGATTTTCGCTCCACCGCGGGGGATACCACGCGAATAGGAAGTTGTTCGAGAGCGGGTCGCAGCTTCGCGAGAAAGGCGAACGAAGCACCTTGTGCGGATCGTCAGACGATCGACTTGACATTTGATATTTTTTACCTAGTCATGATGAGGAAGCAGGAAGGATGCCTTCGAGAAGTAACGAAAGTATTCCTATATATACAAATGTATAAAGCATTTCTTTTGAAATTAAAAGTAACTAAAAATGATTCTTTATGTAACTCAATAATGTTAATGCTGAGAAATACGCAACATAAACAAAAAACTGCAGTAACTTTACTATGAAATTTAGATTTTATTTATATAGTGGTGATCATTTTGAATACATAATAAAAATCTCAAATTAAAAGATTTCGAATATCATTAGATAGGAAACAATTTTTTTTTAATCTTGGAACTCTTGAAATATTTTAATACATATATAGAAATTTTATTTTTAGATATTTTATTTGGTTATAAAGAAAGACGTTTCGAGATTTTTTAAATATTTTTAATTTTAAAACAAAAACCTCGGATCTTTATATAATTTAATTGTTTAAAAACTACAAAGAGAAGAATTCGAGCACTCATGAGACTGCATAGTGCTTAAGAGGAAAAAAGAAGAAGAAAGAAAGAGGAAGGAAGAGACTTGCGTTCAGTGATATATTGCGGAATAAGAACGAAGGAGAAAATAAGAATGCAAATTATGATTTATATCTCAGCTGAGTCACAATACCATTTTTTTTTTTGCGACAAAGAACTTATCTTTCGCCGCTCAATCATAGAGACGGCAAATTATCCGGCGTAATCTTCTGTGGAAAAATAATGCATGCAAGTGCTTAATGTACGTTCCAGACGTTACGTCTCAATGCCTATCGCATCATGCTCTCGATCGGAATCCGGATCTCTATTCCGTGAGTGCGGTATTATGACGTCAACCGGTATTGCAGAACGTTGTCTCGGTATGCAAATATATCTTATCTCGAACTATAGAACGCCCCTCTCTTTGAAACGATCGATTACAGGCGCGTGTTTAGATTCCAAAATCGTTATCAAAAAAGTATGACGTTCTTTTTCCTATCAGAACGTGTTCTTTCAATCATGTATTCAATTATCAATTTGCAGCCACTGAATTGTGCCTGATACGGTTGTTGAGCTTAAGCTATTCACCGGATCTAAGAAATAAAGAGTGACAGTACCGCTTGTATAATTGCTTGTTAACATTTACAATATCAATTGATCACATAATCATTATTGTAATACTGTATTTAATTCCAATATAATTGACGGTTTACGAAGATACAGCAATATACTATTCTGTCAAGACACCTCGTAACTTCCGATGTAAAAAAATTTCCTGTATGACATCCGCGCATATAATAATTGCGGTAATAGACTGCGCATCCGCGAACGTATTATTAGAAGGGAAAAATTAATCTTATCTTTTTTTTACGTAACTCCGCAAATGTCTTGCCTTGGAAAAAAAAATGGCATTTTTATATTGACATACTTTTGATAACAATAGCGATAACAATAACATAAGAAACGTATAATTCCATCGTTTTACTATTAAATGCAAATATCAGGGAATCCCAGCTGAAATTCTATACCTTTTATTTCTTGAGAGCATTTAGAAAAAGAGCGCGATCGTACTGCGATAATTGCAGATTCGAACGAAACGACGTATACCGCATGCAAGACAGCTTACGATTTACTTTGCCGGGCAATCAACGTCAAAATGGAACTGGATTTAATTACTGCCGTTACAAACGCAAACTATATCTGACCCATTTATCATAGTCGCGCTGCGGCAATCGTTTCTAGCAATTCTCCCTGTTCGTGCAATCCGTGCCTCGCGTTGAGAAAGCGCCTGCCACGCAGCATCAACGTGGCTCCCGTCGCGTGACCGGCCGCCGCGGTTTCTTGACCTTCGTTAAAAATGGAATTCTTCACCTTAACCCGTTAATTAGCGTGCCTCCAATTAGCCGTGGTATCACGCGCAAGGAGAAACGAAGCGGAATGTCTTCCGATATCCGGCTAGTGTTCGCTTAGCCGTCGCGAGCTGAGGAAAGGCCTCGGTACCTTGCGACTAGCTACACGCTGGCCTCAGTCCTCCTAAATTCGATTTAATTAACGAGGCCACTCGTCCGAGACGTATTTCGCGCTCGAGCGTGTCGTCATGCGCTTCTTGCCGCGCGCGTTTTCTCTTCTTTCTCACCGCGCCTTCCCTTCTTTCTGCAAACGCGATTATGGTATCCCTGGTACTTCGAGGGAAGATTTACGACGTCGATCGATCGCATGATTAATTTGCTCACGAATTTAAATTTGTCTATTTGCAACTTAAACGTGCGGCTTTCTTATATGTTTTCTTTATCGAGATTCATAAAGATAGAACTAATACGAGACAAAATTTCAATGTAGATGCGCAATAATCTTTTTATTAAAGTAGATACGTACAATTTCTTAATTGCTACAATAAAAGAAGAAATATTACGTATGTACATCGACACTATGACTCCGCAAGTCTCATCTTTGCGAACGTTGATTGCAATCAACGAGCTATTATTTTAAGCTGTATTGCTTATGATAATATTTCGTAATTCTGTGAAAACAGATGGCAAGATTGCCCCATTACTCAAACAATAATGGGTTTTATTAGCATTTGTAATTAATGTTGCAGCGAACGTATGAACTGCAGAAAGATAATCTTATAACTCACAATGTCTTATACACTGAAAATAATGCTGTTGATATAACATCACTTTTTCAGTGTATCATTAAAATATTTTACCAAAAAAAAGAGAGGACGAAAAAAATTATATTCTTAAAACATAACAAACGATTATATTAAAGATAATGGTTATTTACTTTGGTTTCAATTGACCTTCACGATACATTTTCGAATCCACGATTTCGATTGCTTTCTAACAGTCAACGAAGCGAATTAAATTGGGCCGAAAGGAAAATCCTGATTAAATCGATCGAGGACGTGCCAATTACCGTGAAGCATTGTTGTAAAATTGTATAATCAATTACGAGAACGGTAATGATACTTATGAAAGTATAACAAGGCCATTAGTCATTAAACGGAATATAGTTGGAAGAAGCGATAAGAAAAAAGCAAAATCTGATGTTTATGCGAGATGTCGCCTGTGGAGGATGCTACGGCATTGAACGGTCCATTAATTTATTTAACGTCTAACGAGGCTGACAAACAAAGCTGCGATTAACATTCATGGCTTTGGTGCTTGAAATAGTTTTCAGGGTAATAAGCAATGGCTTTTTTTTTTATATTGCTAATTCTTTTCAATCGTAAATGCATGAATAACCTGACGCATCTAATGTAACGCGAACTAATGCAGAAAATCAGAGATATCATCTACACGATCTTACTTGTAGATTGATTGATCACGCTCGATTCTGTTTTATGATACAATACACGGAAGCAGAACGTCATCGCAGTTTAACATTGTTTAAAAAAAAAAGATTAATTGTTGGTAATTACTAGAAGAATTATCTGTTGCGTTACACGGGGTTCGTTATTAATACCAAAGTAATTTATACACTCGTATTATTTTACCATATTATTTATCCCGTTAAAATTTTTTTACATACATTGCATTAATAATCAAAAGCGTGATTTCAATTGCTATTAAATTATCGCTGACTCTATAATTAACTAGAAATAAATCATCATTACCTATCTACACGTTGTTAAAAATCGATTTAAGTTACTTACAATGATAGATACAAATTTATATTTTAATTTGAAAAGACTTTATCGTTATGTTTATAACTAATATAAACACGCCTTCATTAATCTTTAAATCAAGGGTACAAAACTACTCTGTATTCATCAAAAAAATATAACCTTGCTATCAAGACCAATTGATCGTCCCATAGATGATAAATATCTAACTTTGCCTTCCTTCCGATATTTTTACACAATTTTGTCGTGCCAAGCCCATTTGTGTTATCAGAAGTATGCATATAATATAAGCATAATTATATAAATTACAGTCACATTACCAATATAATTGCAAAAATGCAAACTGTGAGTCATCGAAACGATAACTTGAAATATTTCAAGGAGATAGATAACCGCGCTATTTGTGAAAATTTAATATAATCCTCAAGAGAATGCTGGGATGACCAAATTATTGACATTACAATCGTATAAAAATCTCCGAATTGACTGAATGATATCAAAAATCGGAAAAAAGTTAGGAATTTATTTAATATTTTTTCAATTTTAGTATAAAGTCCACTGCAGCATCTCTTAATTCTGCGTCTACTTTAATCCTGTATAAAAGAACTTTTTATTCCGTTTAGTCAGTTTGCAGATTCTTATATGACTGTAATATCAATAATTTGGTCACTCCAGTATCTCCTTTAAGGCATAACGAGCATAAGAGGATCCGTTCGAGGAGCAAGCCTAACGAGCTTGTGCATCGAAGGTAACGATTCGACCTCATGAAAGGTGCATTTGTAGCGCTAATTACCCGCCTTCAACGCGCAGCACCTTCTTATACAAACAACAAACTGGTGATTCGCGTCACGCGCGTTGAATGTCCATGAACTAATTTCGTTTTCGAACGGAAGGAATAAAGAATGCCCATTTCCGGCCGCGACGGCAACGAAAATATATATAAATTATCCGCGATTATCGCTCAACTTCTGAAAGTAGAGCAATTGTAAAGAATCACGGTTCCCCTTGAAATATAAGGTCGTTTATGAAAGTCTACTTGCCAAAATCAATATTTTATATCAAAAGGTCAACTAATTGCTCAAAATGATTATTTTGATTGCAACGTATCACGTTGGAGTATAGTA